AAAATGGCCTGAGATGTATGAAACATCTTGTAGGTTCTAGACCTTCCAATTAGGGACTAATGTCATCTATATTAACCCCTCGCCCCCTCCCTCACTCGGCTTTATTGAGGGAAGGACAAGAGGGCTAGGGTTGCCTCAATAAAAACAGCACTAAAAAGCAATTACAGTGCTGAGAAGAATGGGACTTGTCAGTAATTTGCTGTCTAAAACCAAGGAGATTGCAGGTCTGGGGCCGACAGGAATTCTGAGCCTGCAGTGCAGTGTGGGAAAAGCAGTGGGAAGGCAAGCACCACCCTTTGTGAGGTAATTACTGGAACTACCAAAGGCCAGCACCAGTCTCTGCTAATGATAACCCCTCTCCTCTCCCCTACCAGTCACCTTGTAATTGATATATGTGGTCTCAATTACTCATGATGATGTGGACACCTTTTGACATTATGCTGAGTCTGTAAATCAAAGAACTAAAACAAAATGTGTGCATTGAATACAGAAATTTCTTTAAACGGTCAATGACAAAAAGCAAAGAATGCCTTTGGAAAATGAATATTAACTTAGTCTGTGTTCCTGTGGATTTAGGAAATTGCTCAGTGTATTGGTAACTGTTCCTGGTATGTCTTACACAAGTTTAATTCTTTTAAACCACACCAAAACACTTTTGTGACAACACAGCATGGACAGAAGCATCTTAAGCTTTGTGTTTACTGGCAGATATGTTTCAAAATACTTCTTACAAAAAAATTGTCTTTCTTATTGTTATTTTATGAATCACTGAAATAGTAGAACATACTACCTCACTTAAAATAGCAATCATATTATCACAATCTGTCCCACTGTAAAGAAACACACTAACTTAAAATAAAAAAAAAATTAAAGTTAAAAAAAAAGCTATAAAAAGTTTAAATATTATGCTAAAATAAAACATAAAATCAAGTTTTATATTTTGTATTGAAAATAATACAAGGCCATGCAAGGTCAAAGCATTGCATGTTAAACCTTTTAAAATACTTGTTAAAAAATTTACAAGTTTTTAACGTAGTTTGTGGCACAGTGGCAATTGAGAAAGTATTTGTTGAAGTTTAATCACAGTTTGTTCATTACAGCTGATGAAACAGACAAAAAAAGTAACGGAAACAGAACTTCCTTCTTTAAGTCAGAGTACATTTGAGACAAACAGATTATAATGAAGGCAAAACTCAATATCTCTTAATAGATTGTGATGAGATGGTAAAAAAATAGATGTTGCTAATCTGCTACTGCAGTAGAGAAAAGCTATGAGGAGAAAACAAACCCCATCTTGGAGACAGCTAACATTTGACTTTAAGACATCCTACAACATTACATAAATCCTCACCATTAGCTTTGCATTTAATCACATTCTCTTTTATGACATTTTTGGCAGTACTATACTTCGAAGTATGAATTTTAGCTAATGTAGGCAGCTTTTCCATTTTTTATTTTGTACGTTGTGATTTCTGAAAGTTTATGAAAGCTATATTCATGCTATATTTTAAGAGCTGACTAACAGATATATACAAGAACGTGTTTAGAAAAGTAATTGATAAACTGTTATGTGGAAATAAACTGCTGATGAAAGGTTGCCACTACAGGCGAAAAAAAAAAAAAACTACAGTTGTAAAGTAATGATAAAGAAAAACAGGATTAACTCTGGCGCAAATGAAGATCAAACTGTGACCCTTACACCTCCATAAGCAAGAAAAGTAACCGACACTGGAGAGGTATACATTCTTATCCTTCCTGCTGAAACGCTTGGAGCTACAGAGAGGTGAAAGGGTGACTAATGAGTGATCATGTCTGCTTCATCCTCCCCTCTCCAACGCCAACCTGCATTAATCTGGTGGATGACCCTCTGAAAACCTCCCCCCACCCCCACCTCCTGCTGCCTTCACCACCACTGAGGGACTGCATCTTACAGCAGCATACCTGAACACACGGGGTGCCTCTGAACTTTAAAAGAAAAAGTAAGAGCATTTAGCACCGCGTTGACACACACCTGTAGAGGGTGGAGCACATTAGTATGCCTCCCAAATCACCCTCCTCCTTTGTTATCTCCCCAGCTTGGCTAATGCTCTCTTGTAAGTACAGACGTGGTAAAATTCCTTTGTTGCTCCCAACAATACAAACAAGCACTTCAAAAGGGAAAAGGCTTTACAGGTGTCACATCTTTACTCATGACAGCTGTTCTTTTCAGTCATCTTTTAGATAACCCATCATCCTTTTTCACAACAGGCGATAGGCTCAACACAATCCACACTGTGGGCTGTGGAGCAGAAAAGTCTGTTTCATTTCTGCATATGTTTCAGTTTTTAGGAAAAATATTAAAGGAAGAACTCAATGCTTGGGATATAAAACCATTCCTCTTCATTTATTTTCACACATTTTGTCACATTACAACTAGAAGCTTAGTTATTCTTTTATGAGACTTTCTGTGATAGACCAACACAAAGTGATAATTTGCTACGCAGTAGGTTGTACGCAATTTTATTTAGAGGTATAAGTCTACATGTCCCTTTTAGATTTTTCATCATCTCTTCATATTTACATATACACATGTATATATATATCCTTATCTTATACTTTTACACACACACAAATGCATCTATTCGGTTTAGCAGCTAAAGTGTTATTCAAAGTGTCAAGGGTATTTGGTTGTTTTGATTTAGAACTCAGAAGTGAGAAACATTGTCACTTACAAGTAACACAGGGCTCAATATAACTCAACAAGCTCACGTATTCAGTGGAATACCAAGATTTACAACATTTTTAAGATGAACAATATTTAAAAATGTTTCAGAGTCATCAATCATCTGAGGTCTGGTTCTGTTCTACATCTGGGCGAAGTGGTGTTTTCAGAGAGTTGAAGGAGACGCTTTGAAATGGAGGGGGATGTTCTGATGTTAGACAGAAGAGCACATTGACATCAAAAGACTGGCTTCAAAGTCAGTTACATAATGAAGTGCCCACACACTGCTCTCGTCTGTGTAGATCAGTTAAGCCTTGTCACCTTTGGAGTGTATGACCTACAACGAGAAGCTTTGAGTATCACATTCTTTAAGACTACAGTCTAGATAAAAACATTTCATGTAAGGTATGGATTGTAAAACTTTGACCAATATATTATGTATTTATTTTTATTTAATTCTGTCTTTCAACTTGTTTTCAAAAAAGTCAAATCAGCCATCTTATGTGAATCATCATCTTTTATGCTAATACCAGGGATTATGTTGTAGAAGCTTCAAAAGGATTTCGAGAAAAGCAGCAGCAGATTGTAACCACTGTGTGACTTCTAATCATTTGCATTGTCTCTGGTGCATGGGCCTATTTGCATCATTTCACCATATATACATCCCTATCCAGTCCCATGACAACATTGTTCTTTTGAAATGCAAGGTCTAACATATTTAAGGATTAAAGACAGGACATAAAATAGAGAAACTAATTGCAATCAAGGCTATTGTCTCCCATTTATATGGTTATTGGGCTGTGCTACTTGCAGCCTGATGGCGTCAAAGTTCTCACAGTCAGGATGCCACCTCTTCCAGTGGAGTCGCCGTAGCCTCCTCTGGCAACTATCTGCTAACAAGGTTCATCTCACTTGGGTGACAAAGCTGCAGCGGGTGGGTCTGACCGAAAGGGAAGGGTCCATTTCCTTCAGCAAAATACTGCATTGCTTCAGGGCCAGAGTTTCTGACTGTCCTGTGATCTTTTTCATGTTTTGTACTTGTTTACACCCATTCACGTGGTGTAAAAAATGTCAAAGGTCACAATGTGGAATTAGCTGGTGTCACCCTTCAAGTCACTGAAGCAAACCTGAACCACAGAAATAGTTTTCAAAGTTTTGTATTTGTCTCTGGCATGAAGAAGGCTGTAAATGTTTTTGCAGTTTTGTGAATGTGCTGGAATGTGAAAGTGAGGATACACCCTGACAGACAATTTTTACACTATTTATGTAGGGGGTGGTCAAGCTAATAAATCCACATGAATGAGAGTGGAAGGGTATCACATTTTTTGCTACTTCCACTTTACAGGGGTAGCAAATTTCTCTGTGATAATGGGGGTTAGAAAGCAGTAAAACCTGGTCTTTGGTGATGACCATGAGGGGTCCACTGGCTGAGCTGGAAAACTGGTAGGCTCTGTTTACAGTTATGCCTCAACCAGGTGTCATTTTTTTAAACAATTGTCTATCTTTTTCTAACCTCTTACTACTTAAATGAGTTTCTTTCCCCATATTTTGCTGATCTGCTGGCTGCAAGAACATTTGGCTACACTGTTTCAAGAGTCTTTTTTGCTAATAAAATCTCAACAAAGGCTAACTATTGACAAATTTATATTCACAATAACTATGATGACCATTTTGATGAGGTTAATGTAATGAGAAGAATTTCAATGATTTTAGTGGATTTGAAATCAGTCTAAATCTTCTTGAGTGTTATGAATTTGGTGGAGATTTACTTCTCAGGTGAAGAGAGATTTTTCTCTCTTCACTTCATCTCTCCTCTGATAAAGAGATGAAGATTCTTCACCAGATAATTTTTATCTCTGGTGAAGATTCACATTTCCTGTCACCTTCATGCACTGTACATTGAAGAAGGATCATTAGCAGCTCCATGCAGTCATTTAGTGGCTTCACTGTATGAGTTGTTCATCCAACAAACAAATTTAAACTGAAGAAAATGACAGAGATTTTTGAGAGATGTATGTGTTAAGATCTTTTTCTCTCTTATGAGTTTTTGGAGTTCAGAATGCAAAAAAATGGCATTATACTACAATATGCTAAACCAAATAAAGACATTTATTCTCAGTGTCTGACCTGAATGCAGACTAAATATTTCCTGTATTAAGATCCGCTAACATGTTTGCACACTTATGTTTGCACTCATTGCTGAGGGACAAATCATTCTTTAAGGAGCAACTTCTGAAATCAAAGCAAACCTAAAGAGGAGGTCATCTTTATCCACATTGACTTAATATTCAGAAACAAGTCACAGAGTTCAGTCTTTTTTATTTTTTATGTTACAGAGTTAGCTTTTAGAAATCTATTACAGGCACCAGGATCAACACCTGTCAGTGGAAAAAAAGATGAGGTAAAAAGGCTACAGAGTCACAACACTGCTTCAAAAACACATTTCTGCAAATATATACTTTTACTCACTAATATGTACAAGGCATGTAATAAATAATTATAAAAAAAAACATCAAATCTTAGAAATTCATAAAATCCGAGAACTAGTCTGTACAAAACTTTGGATTTAAGACTCAAAAAATTAGAACAGATCCACATCCTCCATACAGGAGTCACCCACATACAAAGTGTATGGTAATCAATGTCATGATCAGTTTCAGAACATGCACTGATGGTGGCCGCTCTGTAATTGATTAGGAATGATTCAAAAGTAAAACCTATTATAACAGTTTATTAATATTTTCAGTTTGGTCACAGGCTGAACAAAAGCCTGAGACAAACAGTAGTATTACACTGTAAACATGTTGTGTTAAACATTATTTCCTATAGATTTTACACCTTTCACCACAGCAGAGAGACTAAATTCAGTGGCACAGTAACAACCCAGCTGTGTGTCCCGGTTTTCATTTCGGTATTCAAAGGTCATCCCAGATAAATAAATATTATTCTGCATTTCTTCTTACATCAAAGGAGATAGTCTCTATTAATCTGCTTTCTAAAAGACATGAGAAGTGAAATACAGTAAAATGCAACAAAACTTAAAAAAAAAAGAACATAGACTTATAGGAATATTAAAAATAAACACAACATCTTACAAAATGTATTTAGAACAGGTAATACATTTGATGAAATGAGACAATAGAACTAAATATATAACTAAACAGGCAAGCCAAAAATTTAGCAAATCGAAAAAATTAAGGAGATATTTTGTTGTGTTATTTGAAATGTGTTGAAGCACTGTTTTTGTTTTAAACAGAATTGTGAAATGCTATTTTGCCCTTTATCAATTCGTACTTCCATTTCACATTCATGTGCCATTATTAAACGGTTTGTTTACCTCAATAGTTGGGTATTTAAAAAAAAATGATGAAGCCCAATAATCATAGAAATAGATCATAACAAATTGAGCCATGTGATGAAAGCAATGTAACTTTTAAGTGACCTCCTGCTGCTATACTACATTTATTGGTTTCAGAAAACCCCATTTCTTTACAGTAGACTATGAGAAGATCATAAAAAATTACTCGAAGTTTCAAAACTGGTACATGTAGACAAAGAAGGTATAAAAAAATAAAAATTAAAAATTAAATCCACTAAAGTATGAATTGATAAAGGGGCAACATGACCAGAACTTGTTCCACTGTGTTATATGTATTCTACTTTGCTTTGATTTATTTATTTTTAAATGTATTTTTATTGAGTATTTGAATTCAGTCCTATATGATTGTATTTTCCTCCATGTTGGCCACCTTGTTAAGCCAATATTTAGTATTGAAAATGAAAAAAATCAAGCTCTATTTTATCCTATTTAGTTAAATTTGAATTACTTTAAGCAGGAATTTATATAAAAAAACATTTTTCACATTTTTACCAAACTACAATAAGCAGTTTTCTTTCACAGAAAGAATCAGTACATGCAAAGAATACACAAATCACACATGGATGAAGATGTATTCTATGTAAGTTAATAAACAAACATGAAACAAACATGAACTCATGTTACCTTAGCAGCAATATAATATGGAAGTATTGATAGCTTCAGTGATGCTGCTCATTGTTTAGTTTAGGGAACAGGAAGTCATTGCTCAGAATCATTACAAACAAAGGTTTTGGTCATTATTTTCCAACAACTGTAAAGTATACTGCATAACAGAGCTTACATAGCTCATAAATGAACATTTTATTGTTATTTTTGAACTAAAATGGCAGGAGAGTATCCTTCTGATTGATTGAAAATCAAAACAATAATTAAGTCTGAATTTTACATACTAGGACACAACCCTTTCACAAATACCAGTGTTTTTCCACATCAAAGATTTCGCTAATATTGTCAAACCCAGGGAGAGAAAGCTTCATATTTCCCAGCTGACCTTGCAGTCTTAGCTATAGATCTCTGACAGTCCCATAAATATTTCTTCCCCTTGGTTGTATATGAAAGTATAGCTTTTTCTTAAAAGAATATCTTGGGTTGGAGTTTGGCTAAAATAAATGTCTTTCCTGCAGTAGATTATTCTTGCATCATGTTTATCAGGTAATGGCTAAAGTGAGAGGGGGCAAGACAGATAATTGGCATCTATCATCTTAAAACAACTGAAAAGTAATATCTTTTTGGACCAGAATGTAGATGCTTCATAATATTCTGTAAAGACAAAGTTGTTGTTTTCCACTGTCACAAAATATTTCCTCAGGATTAAGAATAACTGCAAGGTTGACAACGGGATGCAAGGAACTGTTACCAAACAGTTACTCAATAACAGAGATTGCTGCGTTTGGGGAATTTGTACAATATTGATAAACAGAATTGTACTCACTTGATATGCAATGCCATTTTTTGAACAATTTTTGGGTTTGCGGTTTTCAGAGAACGTTGCTTGCTACAAATATTCACTGCATGAACTTTTGGACATTCTTGGTTTAAAGGTGCAAACTGCAGCATTTCAAGACCCATAACAGCGTTTTAAAATTGAAGTTGTTTTAAGATGGTAGAGGTTTGCTTTTTCATGGCCCCTTTTGGAGGGATTATTAAATTTAGATTTCTGCAGCATCTAATATGAATTTGGACTACATATAGATGCCAAAAAGAGTTGTGTACTGCAGGTAAATAATTAACTCCTTATGGCCATTTCACAAAACCTTACTCAAAAAAAAATCCTAAAATACATAAAACTACATATAATGGGTGAAATGCTCTGGTTTCAGCAGTATGTAGCTACTCTGGCTACTCTCAGATAATGTTTGTCATTTAAAAGAGATATAAACACATTAGCTTAAGGTTGTGAGGATGTGTAAACATGTTACAGCAAATAGCTACATTCACTGAGGTGCAAGTGCATTCTTACCTAAACATCAATAACACTATGAAACTATGATGTTAGTTCGCCCATTGGCAGAAACATACATATAAAAACCAAAGAGGGGAATGCATGCTGTTGAGCAACTTGTAATGTAAACTTTTTTTTTGTTTTTTTGTTTTTTTCAAAATCAAAAGATGATTAAACATTAAGGGTACCAATGGCATTGCTGTTTAATTCTTAATAGAAATAGCTACTATTGACATGAAAGAGAAACACCAATATGGTGTTTGTTAATTCGTCAGCAGTCCTTTGTTCTTACTTCAACATGAAAACCTTTTAAAACGTAGATACAAGCATGGTAGTTCATGAAGGATGCTCTCAGTATGGAAACATGTTCAACACTTTTAGCTGATTTGGGCAGAGACTAGCTCTGCGTAGCATCCCCGAATAGAATGAACAGTCATTTTTGTGTGTTTACACGACACATTTTTCTCAGGTAGAAACTTGTGAAACAATTCTCAGATTTTTAAGAACCTCAACAAGTCTATTTGCAAGTGTGCACATCATAGACTCTCTCACACTCTTGACAGCTGACGTAGCAGCACCAGTGGAAAATACAGTGACACTTCTCCTTTCTCTTCTCAGTTCTGGTGTTGTGACCCCTGCCGCAGCACAGCAGGTCACAGCCGTCTATGCCGTGGGATGTCAGGTTGCAGATGCGATCCCGGGTGCCAAAGGAGCCTGTCTCTGGGTTGGGATCGCAGAAATTGGGTGAGCTTTCATAATAAACCAAATCACGCTCTGTGGGTGGTTTGAAGTAGTTGTACTTGGGTCTCAGCGTCTCTACCCAACCACGGGACTCCTTGTGTTTCTCCACCACCATCTCAGATGCACTGTCGTACTTGTCCTTCATGTAGTCGCCGATGACCCGAAAGTCCGGCTGTGACCACCAGCATGTCTTGACTTCGCAGCTTCCTGAGAGACCATGGCACTTGCACTTCAGGAACATGTTGTCGTTGAGGGACTGTAGGTTTTTTTTAAATAAAAAGTTAACACCTAACAGTAGAATAGTAGACCAATTACACAGAATCTAAAGAATAACTGACCGTTCTTCCTGCCTCATTGTTGTGGCGATTCATTGCAGAGCGTGCATCTGGGCGGTTCTCCCTTGCGTCTGCAAACTCACGGGACACCATGCTTCCAAATTCCACATCCTCACTGCAGCCACCCCACTTCCATCCCTCTCCAGGGGGGCCCTTGTGACGTGTGTCGCAGCCGCAGATGGTGGCTGAGCCATCAGCGCAAGCCCGGGTCACAGCAAAGGCAACCCCCGCTGAGGCAATAGCGTGAACAAAAGCAGACTCTCGAGTAGCTACAAAGAGAATTTCAAGGACGTGTTTAGGATGGGTAGGAAAAACTCTTGTACACAAACTGCAAAATAAAAAGCTAAAAATGGTCTCTTGATTAATGTGATTATGTTCAGGAATGAGCTATAATTAACAGTATTGGTTACCACCTTGTCCACAGACATGGGTTCATTTTGTTTCTACTAATGTCAACATTAAATGAACTGCATATTAGAAGTCCTTTATTATCGTTCATCTGTTATACTGCTGTGTGACTTTGTTCAGCCCAGACATCAATCGTGCTGTCTCTAAATAAGGCTGGAAAGTCCTCCCTGTCTGTGTTTGACATAGCTAACTGATGAGTCAGAGGGATCAGGATCTTCTACAGAGATGAGAGGAAAAGACAGGCCTGACAGACCTATAATTAAGAGAATCAATTAAGCTTTTGAGAGGTTAGGAAACAACCTTGCATTGAAGGGACAATGTACGACATGGAGTTGTGTCTTTATTGACCAGGTGCCTCGGTCATTCGCCAAATAGAGTGCATAAAAATGAGGTAGAACTTGAAAAGGGAATGAAACCCAAAAAGTATAAGTAAATTGGATATTGAGTAGTAAGCGGCATATAAGACAGTTTATGCTGACATGTTTGAGTGTGTGAGAGAGTCAGAGAGTATTTTAAGAAAGAGAGGCAGAACAAACAAAGGAAGAAAAGAAAAAAAGTAAGGCACATGTAGCTAAAGGCAGCAGGAGCTCCTCCCTTGCAGCAGGTTCCAACCAGTTTGAGGACTAAGGGGCATTAAAAGAGTGATGCAAGAGAAATGGTCTTCTTGAATCCTCCACCAGCTATTTCATGGTTCAATGAAATGCATCCAAGGTTACTAAACATCAACAAACGCTTTTATTTTAATAACAATCACTTCAAAAATAATTTAAGCAAAAACTAAGTGCAGTGGTAGCTCACATTGTTTAATCCAACAGAGTAACAGTGTAATAAGCTATCAAACCAATACTTTTCTGAGGCTCAAAGTTGTTTACATTTTTTTTTACCACCAAGCTTTTCTCCAGAAAGTAACCAGAAAAGGTGTGACTAGAGCAATCATACTAAAACATTTTATAACAAGTTCTACCTCAGTAAATAATGAGGTTTACTATTAAAACCATTCTAACACTTTGGTTTTTATACTGCATATTAGCACTGCTTAAGTTCAAGCATGCCATGTAGTGATGAGTTCCAGCTCTACTCATAAATTTAATTTTCAAAGTTTAAAGTTGGGAGAATGACTCGGTCTCTATACTCTGAGATTTAAATTTTGAAGGTCACAAGTTTCTCACCCTAAACATAGTCTCAAAATTCAATGTATCCAACATTTCATAACAGTAGCAGTAAAAAACAAAAAAAAAACAAAACTGTGCTTGTCATTAAATCTTTCACATTTGAAATTTATCGCTGTGAAACAACCTTAACTGATCTTGGCAAACAATTTTTGTGCTTAAAATATTTTCACTAAAGAGTTAGCTTCCTAAAGGTGGTGGAATATATTAACAGCTTAGGAGAAGGATGTGATTTAATAATATCACCGATTGAAAACTTTTACCTAGTCTTAGACAAGTTACTAATGACATGCAGAAATATAAATTTGAATCATCAACGAATAGGCACCACCTGATAGAGTCACATTGCAAAAATTTATTAATACCAAAATGAGGCTCAATTGAGGGACACATATGGGGAAATGTGGATTTTTACGCATTTAAGTACAATAGACTTGGAGTGGAATTAAAACATGTTTGCACTGTAAAAAGAAGAAACATATCTAATTTACAGTAAAATACACATAGCTGTGGTTGCCAGTATTTTAACATATTTAAATAGTAAAATTCTGGCAACCACAGCTGCCTGTATTTTATTGTAAATTGGAGCTGTTTTTTACTCTTTTACACTATAGATGTTAACAACTTTTCCCAAAATCTCTCAGTAAGTATAGAGTCTAATAAGATGCTTATAGTATGTGTCAAGAGTCATACATGAGTCTTTTATGAGCTTCTTAATAATAATATAAACACAACAAGCATGAATAAGTTTGATTCTAAAATGTCAGTAATATAGATGTAATTTATAAGAAATGTGATGCTGGTAAATGGTTCTGAGGTGATAATTAAATCCTGACACTTGTTGTGAAAAAACTATTTCCAAGAACTGTTCAGGTAAAATTACTCAATCAGGTTTATTTATGAATTGTGCACAACTCAGAGCTCGTAAGACAACCAATAATGAAGCAGGTCTGGCTGAAAAGCTCTGCCAGGCAGTGATAACACATGCGTTTTACACCAAGGATAAAAGCTCCTAAACAAGAGGTGAGGCAGTCTGGGTCTGATGCAGCTGTGGGAAACAACTCCCAACCTTGTACATGTAACCCAAATAGCTTTGTCTTGGTGGGACTATGCAGGACCTTAGAATAAAAATATAGAAATACAAATAGCAGATGTGACCTTATTGTAAGTTTCCACTTCACACTGCAGAGTCTCTATTTTTGCTCCAGGGCTTTATGCAAAAATAATAAAAGCTATATTTTTATGAGGTGTCATATTTGGTACCATGCTACCTTCCTGGTGCTGTAGTACGTCTTGAAGGCAAACGAACCTCCAGTTGTAGCGCTTACTTCGCCGGAAGATGTCCTCTCTTACATAAGTTCAGCAGCTTCTCTCCCTTTTACGACCAATTTAAGGGCACTTTTTCTTAGACAATGCTTTTCAACCAAACTTTGCTAGATACCGGCAGGCCAAATGGTCCCTACAACCTGCTGGGGGGTTCAATCCCCTATTGTGCTGTCACAGTCACGCTGTGTTAGTCCCACAATGGACCCAGATATTTTATATGAAATTTGCCCTGGCTAGTGATTAGTGGGGACTAAGTTAAGTCATAGCAACAGAGAACTATGCATTGGCTGGACCCCGCTTGTCGGCAGACAGGGAAATCCCTATTCACATGGTTTAATAAAACAATCTAAAGGGCGTGTGAATGGGGAAAAGCACTTTTTCTCCTGCTTAATCTCATGGTTGAGAAGATATTGTGCTCTGAGCAGCACCCAGCAGGGAGCGGGGCTAAGGTCCCCCCATCAACTCCATTTACCACACCCCTTCTTTCTTTCTTGCCCAGAGTTAATGATATACTGATGTGTTCGCTTCCCTCCCCCAGCTTGATGAGACATACGTTCTGTGAAAAGCTAAGACCTTTTAGCTCATCCTAAATAGTTACACTTTCTCATCCTCAGGTCATAGGTCATAACCCTTATCTCCTGACATCCTCCTGGTTAATTTAGGAGGGATTTATTGATTTCACTTATACTTCCTGGCTTGAATAATGCCAAGATAAAAGAAAAAAAAAAAAGCATATCCCTTGAATTTTTTCTATGAACTTAATTTCTCTTGGGATTAAATGTGATAGACCCACAACAACTACCACATCATTTTGATGTGGAAGAAACATTCATAATTTGCAAAACTGCAAACAAATAATGCATCTGAAAAGTATGGGGTGAATTTCAGTTTTTGTGCACTTTACACTGACACCCATAAATAAGATTCCCATGCAATGAAGTGCATTCAGAAATTAGTAAACAATTAAATATCATGATGATATTATGAGTGATACAATATCATCATGAATCCAGATGGTCTGTGAAGGCATCAGAAGTTTGTTAGAAAATACTTGAGAGAAAACAGGATCATGATGACAGGTTAAGCATACGTTGCTGGAGATGGTCAAAGCTTTGAGGATCATCTGAAAATGAATATATATATATATATATATATATATATATATATATATATATATATATATATATATATATTATATATATATATATATATATATATATATATATATTTGTCATTAAATCTTTCACATTTGAAATTTATCGCTGTGATGCAGGATAAACCTGTCCTGTCCTCTAATAATTTCTTCCTTGACTGCTATGCTTTTTGCTCCATCCATCATTTCCATAAACTCATCCAGCTTCCCTGCCCCTGCTGCAAAAAGTGTTCCCCCAGCATCATGCTGCCACAGTCATTGTGGAAGTGGTACTTTTTTTTGTTTGTCATAGATAATGGTTTGCATGTTAGCTAAAATGTTACATTTTCTTCTGAAGTGAGGAGATAACTTTCTTATCTGTTTGCTGTGTTGGCATGTACAAACTTTATCTCTGCAGTTCCTGCAGAACTGCCATGGAGGTCAAGGCTTCTTCATGACTTTTTGGTTTGAAGTTTGGGCATATATATATATATATAATATATATATATATATATATATATATATATATATTTCATGGTTGAGATTATATATATAATATATATATATATATATATATATATATATATATATGCCCAAAACTTATATATATATTATATATATATATATATATATAATATATATGCCCAAACTTCAAACCAAAAAGTCATGAAGAAGCCTTGACCTCCATGGCAGTTCTGCAGGAACTGCAGAGATAAAGTTTGTGCATGCCAACACAGCAAACAGATAAGAAAGTTATCTCCTCACTTCAGAACAAAATGTAACATTTTAGCTAACATGCAAACCATTATCTATGACAAACAAAAAAAAGTACCACTTCCACAATGACTGTGGCAGCATGATGCTGGGGGAACACTTTTTGCAGCAGGGGCAGGGAAGCTGGATGAGTTTATGGAAATGATGGATGGAGCAAAAAGCATAGCAGTCAAGGAAGAAATTATTAGAGGACAGGACAGGTTTATCCTGCATTAGGATACAACAATAGGAACAAGGAACTATACTACAACTTATTGTATATAGTTAGTCAAATTCCACATCTAAATTGTATGGAAAATCTGTGGCAATATTTGCTGTTCTATCCAATTTGACTGAGCTTGACATTTTTTTCCACAAGAAAACTAGCTAATTACTTTCTGGTCTCTAGTCTCTAGAGCCCTGTGACTATTGTTGTTGTACCCTGACGACTTTGTATTTGTAATTCTGGCAACAGATGGATTTAGGAAGCATTTTCTTTCACTTCGCATTTATGTTGTAGTTTGTGTCTTTTCAAATGAAATTCCAACAAAACACAACTAAGTTTCTGGTTGTATGGTACATTATGTGAAGAAGCTTAATGGCCTTAAATACTTTTGTAAATTGCAGTTTCTGTTTGCATAGGTCTCATCACCTGTGATGTAGTTACCATCCACATTTTGAAGCACAGTTGCACTCCCTAATTCCATCATATGACTCACAAACAGAAATGTGCATTTGCCCATACAGCATGGAGTTGTTGTTCAGATAGCAAGAAAGGTCACAACAGCTCTGGGGTTGGTCGCAAAGACCGACAACACCTGCACAGCTTTCTATTACCTTTCATCACACACAGATTCCAGCAGTGCATGTTTTGACACTTTAGTTAATGTAAATTAATGAGTGCTGACGCAGACATAGCCTGGAGGCAGGCCTTGAGATGTGGGGTGTGCCTATGGATAGAATCTTTGAGGTTTAGGCTACGTCTGAGAGAGAGTTCTAACAAGAATGTGCCTTATTTAAAGGCAGGAGTTGCTTTCCTTTTCATTCATGTGAGTGTGTGGTAACAGAAAGTTGTGCTTACACTGGGTAGAATCTAGTTTCTCTAAGTTTTAAGTAATTGTTTTCCATTTAAATCTTTTGCTCTAACTTCATTTAAATACAAGATTCCTGACTCCTTCTGTTAAACTAACTCAAATGCTCATCATGACAATGAGATTAGCACCGCCAGTCATGGGATGTAATGTAACTAATTTTTTGAAGTAAATAAGGTGCATACTCTTCCTCACAAAATAATGCCAAGAGGAAACTGAAAGACAACAGTCTGAATTGCAGACAAACAGACACCAGTGGGGACAATGGCTTCACTCCACAGACAAACACCAGCATCAATCAAATCCAATGAAATGGAAGCCCACTCTGACTAAAACCTATCAAAGGCCTGTGAGCCCCTGAGCCACTCTCCTCATCTTCAGACAAAGGCACTTAATCCAGCCACTTTGACCTCTCACATTATTACTGGCCCGGCTGACCTTAATCCAATCAAAATGATTTACTAAAGCCCAGTAGCGGCCTTCTCTTTCCAGTCAGTACCCCTGCAATTTAGAGTTGGGAGGGGAGGGCAATGGGAACGATGTGGTGACATTTTGCACCACAATGGGGCTGGGATTGAGAACCCCTATCGTTAGCCACCTACTTGAGCTCAAGCCTCTTCTATCAACTGACTCAAGAGTTTATTAAAAGCAATTGCCCTAAGTGACCTCCAAACGGCCACATTTGCATCAGTCTTCAGCAAACTAGCCGCCACGTTTAGATCTCCCACCCTCATCCACATTGCACACATCCGGTCTCACTTTTTAATCCTATTTTAGAAAGCACAAGAAGCGACATGGAAGAGAAAGAGCATAAATTCCTCCAGTGCAGATAGGAAGCTACAAAACAAATTTGAATTTAAATTTAGAAATGTTTTTTTGAAAACAACATGTCAAGCAGCATTTGTAACAACATCAGGCAAAGGATCAACTAACAGATGAGGTGTAGGTTACCTGTGATAAAGCAAGAAATAGTTGCTTACTGGAAACTAAGCTTTGTGCAATAACTCACAACCAAGCTATATCCCCTTGGGCATAGATGGAAAAAAGAGTTGTTCAGGAATTTATTTCATTTTGGTAAGCCATAATTATTATTCCATGTCAGCAAGTATCTTGCATTGCTGATTGTCCAAGTATAAGTCAAACATAAGTACATGCTGTCAGAAATGATTATCAAATGTTTTCGCATCTTCTCTTGTATGTGTGAATTTGCTAAATGGAAAACTACCACTTGTTTTCAACATTCAGCTCTGAGATGAGGATAAAAACTGTGAGTCATAAAGTTTCTGTCTGAAACTATGCTCAAAGACACTAAAGTTAATCCTTTGTGAAGTTTAATTTTTTGAAAATTGCCACAAGCATTGTAGGAAGAACAGCAAGCATGCTAAAAAAGGTGCTTTGGTTAAATGCCACTAAACATTATCTAAGGGAACACACTACATCCACAGTGATACATGGTGGTGGCACTGTCATGCTACAGGATTGTTCTTTTTCAGCAGGGGCAGAAAAACTGGTCAGAGTTGATTAAACTATTTATGGAGTTGAGTACCTGCAAAATTTTTGAGACTGTGGCAAAGGTCCATGAGCCAAAACAAAACTTATAATTGGCCCAATTTTATTGAACACCTGTATCAGCTACTTTGTAAAGAAAAGTGGGGGAGATTTTAGACTGTAAACCTGTTAGAGATATACACCAACAATCTTTCAGATTTCATTAAAGTGAATGGCAGTTCTGCAAAATTTCTCTTCACACAGGGTGAAATATCTCTTGCAGGGTACTTTTTCTAAGACAGTTTTGTGAAGAGGATGGTCAGAGTTGTCCATAATTTTCGTAATTTTTTGTAAAATCCGTCTTTGCATCATCATCTCCAGTGGTTTCACAATCGTCTCCAAAACAAAACCAGACTTCTTTATCAGTTTGTTGAGCCATTTTAGATTTTTTTTTTCAATATTTTGAAAGCTGTGAGTTATTTTCCTTCCACTTCCCTACCATGCATTTGTTTGTTTTGGTGTATCACTTAAAATCATTGAGGTTTGTGGATGTAAGTTCAAGTTCAAGGGGCATGATTAGTTTTGCAATGCCCTGTAAAGCTTAGTGTGAAACCTCCACCAAAAAAAAAACACTACAGAAAATTACCACATTCTCACGGTGAAATTAGGCTAATGGAAGAAATATATTATTTAAAGATTCTTTTTTGTGTATTTAATAATATATCATGTTTTCTTGATCCTTTTTATTTATTCTTTGCTGTTTTTGTTTGTCTGAATGCCTTAAAGCGTGTGGTCACATTTCTTAAACAGACAATTACAGGCAAGTCATCATATTCTGAAGTGAAAATATATTTTAGAAAAACTGCATTTTTCAGTTTGGTTCAAAATCTCATGTTCAAGGTGTCTTTTAAGGAAAGTACAGCAATTGCAGGAGATCCCCTCCAAAAGAAAACTCAGACAAGACAGAACTAACTTGCCTTGGGCTAATTGTGTACATCATTTCATGCATATAGTCCCCTCAGAGCTTGTTCTGTCTCAAGACTATTTAAACAAGGATTTGAATCAACATAATGAATGATGCATGCAGGGAATGCAGATTTTCTACTGCAAATATAACACAAAGAGAAAACAGAACAGTTAATGAAAGAGTTAATCAGCTCAGAAAGACCATAAGTCACTTTTCTTTTTATTTTTTTAAAGTAGTTTGGAGAACTAAAGACTTTTATATCAACTTTGCAAAGAGTGTAATACACTGAAACACAAACTGAAGCTACTGAAGTTGAACGTCATTAATGTTTTGGCATACTCTTCATCTACAAGCTCACTGGCTTTCTTATATTTATGTGTGTCATTGTGCTTGTGAAAGTTGTGCAAAGATACAAAGAAATATTTCTCTTAAGGTTATTATATCTATCTTTATGTCCACATGACTATATTTTAAAGAAAATCTTGATAGTTGATAGTTGCAAGTGGTTTTTCTTTTAATTTTTGTAAACTGTGTGCCACAAGATCAAACGTTAGTTACAACTTTAACCCAATATTACCATCAATGAGCCTAAAAGTACACATCTAACTTACGTATTAGACCATGAAACTTCAGTGAAGGTAAGCCCATGAATCTGAATTTACATACACAGTTTACCTTTGTCCAAAACTGGCCCAAAGATGGCCAAGTTGTCATTGACTGTTGTGCAGTTCCAGCGCCGGCCTCTGAACTGGTGCTGACACTCTTGGATGCCAATCTTTACCCCCTCGGCCACACTGGGCATGATCTCAACGTAGTTCCTGCAGAAGCGCAGCTGCTTCGGCACCAGACCTGGTATGCTGGCACAAAGGATAGGTTGGGTACCTATTGATGAATACTGGTGGCCCACTGCTAGTGACCTACAAGCAGAGAGGCAGTCACAGTGTCAGTGCATTTTCATAATTATATCCTCTTATCCTATTTGTCTGAATCGATGTCTCACTACTGAAGTGGGAGGTAATTTTCCTCTTTGTGCAGTGTAATCTTATGTCTGAGTTTATCTGATTGTGTGTGTTTATTTGTCATATCAAGTGCTACCATTAGGTGTCTATCCTTTATCCCTTCAACCACCCTTTCCAAAGACACCTGCCCTTCATGTGTATTGAAATTGTAGCCCTGCCACCGCATTGTTTCTGTTTAAGATGAAAGTCTGCAACGTATCCAGAGGTCTTCATAGACCTTAAGCTGACAACTTGGAAAAACTACACCTTGTTATTAGCTGTCCGCACACTTAACAGGCTGTCAGCTTAGGGTAATAAGAGTGTAAACCCTACAATGAAACTTCAGAGACTGTATTAAGAGCAACGCAGACCCCCCTCCCACTCATAGTTTTTCTCTTTGAGGAAAATGCTTTAAGAAACAAGTGTAAACTTGGCTCACTGATTACATCTCTGTGCCTTTACACCTTTATAATTCTCTCAATCTTTATTATCAGTGTCTATTTATTTCTATTACTCAGCTTTGAAAGGACTGAGAAGTAAGAAGCACCACTGTGTAATGCATACATAAAACACTTTTTTCCAGACATTAATTTATTGGTCTTGCTACACATTTTAATATTGCTAGAGAACACGCTTGTTTTTCTTATTAACTTTTTAATACATAATGATGAGCCCTGAAGCCATGAGGGATTTTGCGCAAACTTTTCCCAGAGCGAATTTTTGCTAAACAGACAAAGAAATTACGAAGCTCCCACTTGTGTGAACAATGCGTAAAACAAATAAAATAAAATAAGTGCAAGGTTAAAAGAATGTATGGCAAAAATACACCCAGAGTTGTCTAGATATGGTTTCAAAACCAATTCAAGCTTGGTTGGCCCCAAGCTTGAATTGGACCTCTCAAAAAAAAAGTTAATTTCAACATGTTTTCAGGACTAGGGAAAGACTACCGACAGCCAACCTTAAACAGCCATCAAAAAATACATATGACCTCAAAATTATGCAAACCCCTCGCAAAATTAGGCTTGCATTAATCTTTTAATTTGGAATTATATTAAACAGGCCCAATGTGAATCCTGACATGGATTAAGCATATGATAGCACTCAAAGAGTTGGAGGTCATCCCCAGCTAAATACTACAAATATCAGTGGAGACAAGCAGTAGGCTGGTCAACAACGTAAAGGGTTTGAAAAGTGTTGTACTGTTTTTTAAACTAAATACAAAATAACAATCTATTTTAAATAGCAGTTATTTTTAACAAAACTGATGGTTTGTCCCATTGCATTATCTTTTGATAGATGCCTGTTTCATTTTCTATCAGAAAGAATAACTTTAGACCAAATTGAATGCCATTGAATGTCCAGTGAATGAAAGGTCGACATCATAGGGATTATTTGTTGAAAACACTTTAACTATCTAATTAAATTGACTTGACTGAGTCTTTTATGAAACGTGACTACAGTTGTACTTTGAATCACTGTACACTAAATCTCATTTGAAGGGTTTGCATTAATATTTTCACTTTGTGTTTCTTACTTTTTCAGAACTTAGATTTGTTTTCTAAATAGGGCAGGATTTCACTGCCTTTCACAAGCATCATTGCTCTTGCTGACCTTGATAAGACCTTATCTACGCATGTCAAATAAGATCTCTGCCCCCTCAGTGACATGGATTTGCTTCTCTTCTACAAATGTATCCCCAAAGCAGGCGAAGGTGTATTTAGCTGCTCATTTTCTGCTAACCTGCTCACTGTTGTTCAGGGATTAATAACTGATCGCAAGATTACCGGGTTCCTGACACAGCCCTGCAGGCAGTTATTTTTCTTCAAACTGCAAATACTGAACAGATCTTCTCCCAAGAAGACTTTGATTAATCTCAGTTCAACTTCACTAAATATTTTGAAGTTGTCTTTCTATTTTTGAGAAATTGTGAATAATAACGGATAAAGAATAAAAATGCATACCGTATAAAAATCAAGTAAATCCAAGCATCTCGTTGGTATCAACAACTATGTCAGAAGGCCTGTGCAAACGGGCCTTTCACAAGTGTTCTTTCTTGGGAAAGAACATTTTCTTCTTTCTACAGAAGGAACATGTCTGTGTAGTAATCTTTGAGACATACAGTAAGTCAGTGAGCAATGGCAAGTTGATATTTATTCTAGACAAAATCAGCTTTTGTCTGCTGCAAGCATCAGTAAACAAGACGCTCCTGCTGTGTGAACTCTTTTTTGCCTTTGTGAATTTGTCTACCCTGCAGCTGATAGTTTCCAGCTGAGACCTGTAGAACCTACCTACTTGGATTCTCTCTCACAAGAACTGTAGAAAACTACTTGTGATAAATAATCATTTTTGTCATTGTGCACAAATTTACCAGCACCTCAAATGCTGTTTTAATTCAACATGTGATCGAGTTTGGTTTAAGGAACTAATAACCCTTCGATCTGTGCTTTAAAAAGCCATTGTGCATGAGCCTCTGCCGGATCTTAAACAATTACACACAAACTCACCGTGACTCAATGTGATGTGTTTCTGTCTCAGTGGAGCAGAGTAAGTTGGTGCCATCCCTTCCTGTGTTAGGAAATGGCTTACGAGAGAAGGCAGGGCATGTTCCAGTAGACATAATTTATGATTTTTTTTTTTTTGCAGAAAACTGTTGCATAAAGAGCAGTGTTGTTGGAGACCATCTCCAACAACCACTTAAGGCTAACTGCTGCTCTTCTGTGTGTTGTGTGGATTTTTGGTATTTATTGTGTGGTCTTTACTTTAATCTCTCTAATTCCTCAGGGAAAAAAAAGTCAATTTATCTTGCCGGAGCTGCTGTTGTGCAGAGAGCAGGACTTTCAGTGTATTGAGTAAAAAAAGCCACGGCTAATGTACGGAAAACTGTTTAGCTTAAAGAAAAACATATGGAATGTATTTTTTTGCACTGTGAATAGACTTTCCCCTCTAATCTAAGTGTAACCAGCGCATGTTTAATGCATATTTCAGCAAGCCCAAGCAAGGTGTCTCAGAATTACCACTTTACTCGTGGGCCCTGGGGCCTTGGAGTCGACTTTGACATCAAGAGAATATGTTTGGGAGAAGGAATGTGTGGCAAGCTTTCACCTCCAGGTATTTATCTTCTAAGGTGGGGTGGACTAGAGAAGGATGGTGGGAGGGCGGCGGGTGCAGCCAGGCTATGTCATGGCAGGTTGGGAATAGGCAGACATGAACCCGCCATAGTGCAGATCTGCAACGCCACATTCTAATATGGGCACAAAGTCTATTTCTGAAGGCCACTTGAAAATTCTGCAGCATCTGCCAGCAACAACTCCCTCTTTACCTTAAATTGAAGACATGGTTTTCACACATCTTGCATGTTTGTTTGCAAACAGAGAGAAAATGTTAGTCAAAAGAAACTGAGTTATTTCAGCTGAGGCTAATGTAAAAAATAAAAAGATAAAGTTTTATAGAATTACTACACGTGCTCCATTGTCAGTAAGTCAGAGTTCTGTTTATTTTGGTGGGAGCAACTCAGCCAATCAGATCTCGTGTTTGCCTGGCTCTGTGTTGCTTTTGCAGTTTACGCACAGATTTTTCCACTTACAGCATGATTTCAACTGTAACAGAGTGGAAACCTGCCTTCCAAGGTTTTTTCTTTCAAAGTAGGGAATGGAAAAAATGATTTAAAGAAATGATTACAAAAAAATTAGATGACAAATTTGATCAAAATCATCTATCCACCCAGTGGGCTCAGTGTTATGTCAGGATTTCCTTCCAGCTGAGTGTGTAATTAGTTTCTCATCAGCCTTAACACCAGGAGACCCATTAATGGAAGTAGATTAGGGTCCACCCAGTTTTAAAGCATTGCCAAATATTAAATGATTTCTTGGAACCTGGACATATTTTGTTATTTTTGTTCTACTGTACAAAACCTGTAATGATCGATGGACGTATTTTAACTGACATGACATTAGCTCTCAAAGCCTGATGGCATAAAATAAATAGAGTTGAAAATGTTATGCTAAGTGGGGTGTTTAGGATATGGTACACAGTTTAAGCTGAATGGCAAAACCTGTCCCCAGGAAGAATATCTTCATCGTACACTGAGTTTGATTAAAATTCCATGGTTTATATTTAATATCAACAGCTTCACTTAAAACATGCTAATAGTTTTAGAACTGGGTCACCTTAATGTCAGCGACTGGCAACAGTTTCTCAATTTCCACACCATGACTCTTTGTGTTTTTTTCAGTTGAATTAGGCTTTTCTAATTCAGCTGATCAGCAATGTTCAGCAACAGGTGGGGGAGGGAAAGCAACAAACTAACACTGATTCTAACAGTGATTACTCCAGCCCTTTCTCTGGCATTTGAATAAAAGGACTCAGCAGAAACAGTATGCAGCAGTTTTTTTTGTTGGTTTGAAACATTTTAAAGCCTTGCTTTGTCTTCATACCAGTTTAAATCTACCGTCACAAAAGTGATCAAAAAATTAATTTCACTTTCAAGGACTCTGAAAAGCTTACTGATTAGATTTTCAATTAATGTTCAGCAAATATTGAAAGTTTAGTGTTTGGGTAATATTTATGCAGTATCACATGTTTAGAGTAAATTATCACATGAATAGAGCTGTTTATATCTTGGCTGCACTTTGGCGAGAGGAAGACTGTCACAAACCTCCTCGAAAAGAGGCTAGTAATGTATGTTTAAATACACATACAACAAAGAGTTTTAGTGCACATCATCTTTAAAGTGTCTAGTTATGATATACACATTTGGATTTACAAAACTTGTTTTGGTGTGTGAGCAAGATGTATAAACATGTTGATGGTCACAATAGTGACTGTTAGGATTATACATTTGACCTAGTTACGCTTATTTATGGAATTCCATATTGCATAAGAATATGGAATATGGAAAATACATACCATATTCTTCCAACTCCAAACTTCTTCTCTTTTAAGATTAATTTTGAGTGTGGTTCTTGATTTGTTAGACTTAGTGATGGCCAGACAAAGTATACAACAATGTAGTTATGAGAAAGATGGAATCCTTACTGACTTTGGCAGTGGTGGCTTAGACATTTTGAATACATATGATCAGTTCATGGGAGAAGAGGATGACCTACCCCTTCACCATGTGGCACTCTGTTAGCACCCACAAAGTTTATGATGAAGGGACAACTATCTCTTTGATGTACCCTTTAAAACTAAAGAGGTTCCAAATGAGGTTCTGACATAAGATGAGAAACCGCTGGTCCACTAGAAAGACAACAGTATTTTCACAGTAGAAATAAATATGAGAAAGAACTACACAGAGACTGATGTCAAATAGATCAATGAGCACATGAGAGGTGTAGACCTTCAAGACCTAAACCCCTCGAGGTACAGAATCATGATCAGGTCCAAAAGGTGGTGGTGGCCCATCTCAAAAGTGCACCTGTAAATAGGGTATCTGTAGCTTAGGAGGTTGGAGTTTATCCAATCTGCAACTGGTGGGTTGCCTGCTAGAACCCCACTTTGACTGTGTCAGTCATTGTGGCCTTGATCAAGAGAACGATTCACCTGCCATGCCTGGTGGTAGTCAGAGGACCCGGAGGTGCCAGTGTATGAATGCCTTACTGCCAGGGAAGTTGTAGCTACAATACAGTAGCTTACTGCTATCAGTGTGTGAATGTGTGTGTGAATGGATGAATGACTAAATGTGGTGAAAAGCATTTTCAGGTCATTTGTATAGTACTTGATAAAGAACTATACAAGTACAGGCAATTTACTTTTAGATATTATTTTTAAAATGTGTCATAGGAGGGACAACCGATTTGCTCACCTTCTCATGGATTGTGGCTCATTCTGTTATGCAAAGGTTTGACACAAAGTCAGTAGGTCATGGAAATAGATCTCAAAGGGACACTCAATATACCTTGGCTTAGAATATACAGAAAGTCAAATTTGTACTTTACAGAGCAAATGTTGCACTAAAATAATGCTGTGACAAGATATGTTCAAATAAAGAAACAATGTTCACCTTTTATGATCTTTTCTCTTTGGAAAAAGCACTTTTGCTCATTTTAATAAGAACACCATATTATCCCACCGGTCATAATTGTGACTGATTATAAAACATACTTTTTCATATATGTTCCACAACATTTTTTTCATGTCTGGGAAAAAATGAGTTTAAATGGGTTAATGGGTTAGGGTTGGCAAAATACATAAATAATATTTTACAGGACTAAAAATGCAAGTACACTAAGACCCAACTATAAGAAACAAAATAATTCAAAATTAAAGGCTCAAGACCATCACATTAACTACAGAATTGGGACAGGATTCAGGATAATGTAATTGTTCTTTCTCAAGGAAATGCTTTGCTATTTTACATGACCTGCCAGCATATCCACATGTTGATTCCTCATACAGAGAAGGATGATTATTTCTTTAGTTGCCTTAAAAGTGCCATGTGCACATTCAAAAATATTCTACATTATACATCAATATCAATTTGAGTAATAGTTGTTGCACAAATGGAGCCCTGGACAAGCCTTTACTCCTGAAACACCTATACTTTCCAGAAATACCAGAAAACATGAACCTTTTCTCACCATCCTTTTCATTTTTTTTGTGAATAATTGCTTCAAATCACAAATCAGAAATAGATTTTTTTTTAACTTTTTAAAAATTCTGATTTAGTCCAAACTCATAGAGGTTTTGGTTTTATTTTCTTGATTTTATAATTCATGCCACTCTTGAACCAATGTGGTGAGACAGAATAGAATGCACCACTGTTTTAAGCACTACTAATGGTTAAATGGTAATTTAAAGAAGTAAAAAAAACAATCAATTAATGCCTAAAATTATTTGCTGCAAAAAATATTAATTCATCTAAACAGATGCATCTTTGAAGTTTCAATCCTGCTTTATAAATTCATCTGCAGTGATTTATATGCAGGTCAAATATTCAGTCTGTCATATGTAGGACTACTGAATCACTTATTTTAACTTTAAACTGCATGAGTGAGTCATTATATCCTGAAAATTACCTTGACTGTGAGACATTACAGACTACTCAGTGAAACTGGGTCACATGAAAAGTAAGTGACCTTCCAATGATATCAGTATCATAAACATACAGAAAACATCTTTGAAATAGACGAAGAAGCATTAACACTGTTTTATTTATGCAGTGTCAAATCTTGGTATATTTTACTATTTATGTGAAATATGGTTATTTTTACATAACTTCAACATTTTTTTTTATATTTACAGTGTTTTTACAGCAATGTCTTGTATCAATCTCAAAGGAAATTTCTATTCTATTCTAACATGATGTTGGTTAATATGCTCATAAACCTAATTTAGTGCAAATGATTGAGTTTGATGCATTAAATAAATAGGGTAAATACATTGATTTTCAATATTTGACATGCCCATCAATAAACAGAGACTAGAGAAATTTGATTGACTGATTGATTGATGCAATCTCTTGTTCTATTGTTGACAAATTTTCCTCAAAGCCATCCATTTGTTTCACATTATATCTAACGAAGCACCTCAGCTGTGCAAATGAAGCAAGAAGAATTGGTTTTACAGTAGGAATAATTTTTAAAAAGTGAATAAAGAGGAAAGACAACAAGAAAAATAGAAAATGATGGATGTAAAAACTCTCTTCAGCTCTCTTAAGCCTTATGTGAAGCCACACTGATACACCCAGGTCTGTGTATAAGTTTGTTTTTAGAAGCATAAACTTTATCCTGCTTAAATAATTGTTAATTACATGTTTTGTAGGGAGCAACCCATGTTTATGTACGTTTGAATAGAGACCCAAATTTAAGCAGGGCATTCAATGTCTGCCAGTGACACATTAATGACCTCCTCTTCACCCCTAGCCCCCAAAATAAAAACTGGATAGGTGGAAACTCATGTTGTCTCTGACAATCAAGTTCTCACACAAATACAGCCCAATGTTTTCAGAATTAGACTTGATTGGAAATGCCAATAGAAATGTAAATTTTTGTCAACTCGTGTTTATTTCAGTCGCTCCAATGGCAAAGTTGGCAAAGGCCATTACTATATTTTGCAGGCCCCAACACTGGACAGGACAGCTTTTCATTTTAAATGCTTTATTTATTTATTTTTTTTTTATAGGAGTATATCTTCAGAACACAAGAGGACAAGTCTATCAGTTGGAACATTTATATGTTCACTTATTAATTAATATGGATATATTTATCCACATCTTTAGAGACAGCATAATCAAACTCCCAAAATGCTGTTCTGGGTTGTTGTTGTTGTGGTTTTATGTGCAAATGAACCACCATCTGCCTCCCCCAGTTTTAAAACTTTCTGGACACGCACCTGCTTAGTTTCAACACATTTTCATGATGAGTTAGACAAAGAAAAAACAACAACAAACAAACAATAAACAGAATTAATAACTAAATCTGAATAACAAAGTCAGCAAGACTTTGCGGGCTGTTTAAATCTGCTTAAGGAGAAGCTGACGGATCATTACTGTGCGTAAGAGTCCAGCTGCTGTCAGAAAACAAACTGAAACTACAACCTCTCAAACTGTCGCACATGGATCGAAGACCATCAGACGCTTCTCAGCATTTCAACAGCAACAACAACAAAAGTCACGTCGCCGTCTGTTTAAGGTGTAAAAGAAATGAAGGTAAAGCTTACCACCAGATGGGATAGCTTGCTATGACATGCGTAAGCCCACACAGCAGCAGGAAACATCCAAGGTATATCATCCTTAAAGTTTCGCAAAACCTCTTCAGCAGGACGCCAACATGCGCGCTCATCCGCGCACCAGAACCGAACAGTGAAGCAAAAAAAAAAAAAAAAAAAAAATAAAATAAATAAATAAATAATCATAAAAAAAGAAAATAACTATTAGCTGGTGGATTTTTATTTCAATATTGAAACAACCGCAGGAAAAAAAAAAGGCTTTCAGTCTTTCGCGAGTGCTGGTGGCAGAACTGAGGAGCCAAATATTAAAAGTTAAAAGCCTTGTGCTTTTTTTTTTTTTTTTTTTTTTTTTTTTTTTGTCAAGGACCCAATCAGCAGGTATTGCCAAAGGGGAAATTCTGATGATATGTTCCTTCTGTTGCCTTGTCAGCCGGAATGAGCTAATTTAAAGATGTGTTTTAGTGCTCACTGAGAATTGCTGGCATTAGCATGCAGTGTGTGTGTGATATATAATGTTGTTTAAAGGAGAGAGGGAGGGTCCTCTGGATTTTAAATAGACATCGGAACCCCTGTGGATTGCGTAGCTATAACAACCTGTCCGGATTTCACTCCCTGGCTTGAAGCTTCTAAAATGCAGAAATAAATATGTGTGAATTGCTCGGGAGTCATTATTAGGGAGCCCCAGTCCTCTAATTGTGCCTGTTTGTGTTGAATGTAAAATGAGAAGTTTAGGACTTTTTTCAAGATTTTCCCCACTGCCCCCTCTCATTTATTCAAGAGGCATTGACATCTTTATGATTGATATGTGAAACGGGACAAAGTTTAAAGCCACACACTATTATTCGCTTTTTATTACCTTTCCTCTCCCCCAGTTTAATTAACAGAAATGTTCGGAAAAGTTGTTGAATTTAAATCGGTGCAGACATGCGTTTATAGACTGATGACTGATTTAACGATAGGCGGGCCGGGCTCTTCTTTGTAGACGCTGGTGCTTTTCTTCGTATTAAAATTAATGTCCTATGACGCAACAGAAGGGAATGTACAGATTAAATAGATCAAAGAAAATATAATTTAAACTATTTTTAATGGTAACTTGTTATTTGAGCAAAGACATGGTAATACTAATGTCCCCATATATTAGTATGGACCTGCCATCAATACCATATATTGATGGTAGCTTTAATAATTTATCTAAAATATATTAACTTTTAAAAGTTTATGTCGGGAAACTCTCAGAACTGATAGATTCTGGATCATTAAGATTTGAACCAGTGTTATTTTGGAATTTCAGCTTAATATTTATATTTTTTTGTTTTACAAAAAAAAGTTTTTAATACTCTGTAAAAATATTAAATAGCAGGTCTGATTAAATATCTGTTTGTATGCTCATAGTAACACTTTATTTGATCCGCATCTAGAGTTAAAGGCTGAAACTTTGCACAATACCTGGCAGTCATATTGTCACAGTTGGGCTTAGTTTTATTTATTTGATGATTTATTAATTTTTTTTTGCCTTATTACTATTGCACGGAAAAGTGGTTACCTGTCATTGACCTTTTTTTTTATTATTATTATGTGATTTGTTTAATTTTCACTGCTTAACATTTTCACTGTAACATTTATCTGGACTATAAGTAAATTTATTTTTCTTTAAGATTTACAGTTCATGCATGTTTGATCCCTTCACGGTATGTTTGTCACAGTCAGCAAACTGGTCAAGTTTATTCTATTTGATGTACTGAAAAAAAAAAATATATATACATATATAACTCCTCATTTCCTTCAATTGTTGCTTCTATCTTTGTTCCACCAAGTCTTATTTCTACTATTCAACTACTCTATAATTTAACAGAAGTTTTCAATTTAAAAAAATCTTGATATTGATTTGCCTGGGAGAGGAAAGTCCTGGTGAGGCCCACAGACGTCCAGACGTCTCAACAGGTGATGTGAATCTGGATGCTACTGACATCTGGTGGGCAATCCTACATATAGCAAAACAGATTTTTTTAAGGCTCCTAGTTTGAAATAACTTCTGCAATCCCGGAATACTTCCTCTTTTTCTGGTCTATGATTCTGTTACTTCACGAAAAAGACAATAGGTAAATGTTTTACATGCAAAAATCATTGGATTGTGCAGACTGTTGATTTGTTTGTATTGGAGTTGCTCCTGAACTCCCATCAGCATAGAGTTGATGGGAAGATGTTTAGAGTGTTTTCCAATCTTGGTTTTCATTTCAAGGTTTTCACTTCTTTGTGTTGGTCTATCGCATGACATTTCAATAAAATACACTGACATTTTTGGGTTTAACATGGGAAAACATATAAAAAGTTGAAGGCACAAAAAACTGCTACATAATCAAGGAAATAGTGATGGGTGCAAATCAGAAAGTGAGTGCCTCAACTAAGTGTGTTTTCTTCCATTTAAACACCCCCAAGAGCAAATTAAATTGAATAAGAACAATCTTGTACAGTATTTACTGCACATTCCCATGGGGAATAAGAGGTTGGATTTTCTACTACCCTTTTTTGTTATACTTTGTTTCTGAATTAGCAGGTTTTAGAAGTGTATTCATCTAAAAAACAAACTGGCTTTCACACCTGCATGCTGTCCTTTCAGCTCACCTTCACTGAGAAAACAGGAGAACATCAAGTCTCCTCTGTGTGGCCACATGACCTCACAGGGACACTGATGTCATTTAGTGGTGGCCAACCAGCACGTGTTGTCATTTCACTGCACCACTGCCCTCAGTGAGACGCCCTCTGTTTGACATTAAACAGCCACAATAACATCATGCGGTACAAAAATATTGAATAAATCACATTTTCATTACTTCACTCGGTTCTCCATGAATAATTTCCTGACGTGTTAGTAAGCTGTTAATACTCCTCTGTGCACCGGAACATGTTTATGAGTTGGGGAAAAAAAATAAAAATTCTAGGGAAAAACTGAACTGTGCTCTGCAAGGCTTGCGTGTAAATGTGACTGCACCACTAGATGTCAGCATTGTAGTAGCTCTAGACAGACTCATCATCACTTCTGAGCTTTGAAATAAAAACAACTAAATGGGAAACAGGTGCAGACTATCGTTTGAATTCCTAGCAGCTTTCTCTGATACATTAAGGACATTCTAATACAATCTTCAGCCACAAATCACAATCTAATCTTTCTGCTATGGCCAGATACGAATAAGGAAAACATCTGGAGGGAAATGTAAATAAAATCCCTCTGAATATCTAGTCAAATTAGACATTTATCCTTTTAGACCTGATCATCAAAATCATGGTGTCTAGTGCTTAGGTCAAGAGAAGAATGGAGTTTTTGCATCAGGATGGGCTCTTCTGATCTGCCATTTCATGTGTTGTGTTGCAGCTTCAGATCGTTGAGAAAATAAAATAAACCTCTCATCTGATGACAGTTTGGCCTCCGTCGGCTGTGAGATCACACCTGGAAAATAACTCATTACTCTCCCCTCTATAGCATAGGCATGGGAAAAGAAGCAAAGACTGCCTCTGTGTCCACTTTATCTGCAGGATGGGCATTACCACAGGCGTCGACATCCCTATCTAGCCTCTTGGTAATACAGCCTGAAAGGTTTCAGATAAGGAGGAAAATTGTGGTGGACCATTTCAAATCTTGATTCCCTGGAAAAGTCTGACATCACATTTGTTGGGTTTGACCACTAAAACACGCATAGAGTGCGTCATCAGTACAATCTTAAATTATTTAGAGAGTAAATTGCAAATCAATAGATTTGTCAGTTAGAGATCTTCACAGAAAAGCTTAATGTTTGTAGAAGCCGATTATAACCCATGTTTTATCAGATTTTAGCAGAATGAGATGGACCTGACCACACAAAGAGTTACTGGCAAAACATTTTTTGGTTTGCCAGTAACTCTCCTTGTCTTGTTTTTCACTTTAGGTGGACAACCATTTTTGGTAGACTTTTGGTAGATTGGATAAAGTGAAGACGATAGCAACATTTGAACAAGAATTAATTAAACCAAGGAGTTTCAGCTTGAGGCTTTCTTCTGGGTCATCAGGGTTGTGGTTGGGTCATATTCTATCCAGTTCCAATTGATAGATTGACTAATGTTATGTTTTGTCATCTAAATTGTCCACAATTTTGTTCATGACCAATCTGATGTGTTCTTATATCTTTATAGTGCTGCTTATCCTCTAACGTTCTAAAACTGACCTCTTAGTTCTCAAAGTTCACAGTCATATGCTATTTTTTTGTTAATTTTTCACACAGAATCGAAGATTGAAGAGATCTCCAGCCATGTTGTAGCAGCATGTTCAACTTTGAATCCTATGGTAACTGTTATCTCTCAAAAGGTTTATTTTGAAATATACAGGATGTTTCTTTTAGTTCTTGGAATGTAAAAGTTAATGTTATTGAGCTTCAGGGAAAAGATCACACGTAAAATTAAAGTACAGTTATTACAATGGTGAACAGTCGTAAAAACTGTTCACCGACTTTTTACATTTTTACGTTTTTATGTTTTTACCTTTTTACGTAAAAACATAAAAAGTCTTTCTTTCTGTTCTCTTATTCTCTTGTCCTTGCAGTCAGTCTCTTCTGGGTCATCCCCCGGTTACAATCAACAAAAAGGGTGGCTGTGCAGGGTGAACCTGCTCGGTCGGACCCTGTCTTGTTTCATTAATTTTACGTAATGCAGATCATACCACTCCATCAACAGCACCTGCTGGTCGAGACCACGACATGTTCACTTTATATCTACCTGAGGTTTCCCTGCACACACCGCAGACGGTGCTGTTGAGACTGTGTTGTGTCACTGTGGATGCTCTCGCCAGTGAGACGCTGAGAAAGAGCGGCTGTGTTTGTTCAAGGCTAAAGAAAAAAGTGCAATTCTGCAAACAGCCCTCAGGCAGGGTGTTTCACAGGTTGTTCAGAAACCATGACAGGATTGTATCACGCAGCTTTGGCAGGACAATACCTAACCCACAGTGGTTTTATATTAATGTAATTGTTTACGAGAAAGCAAAAGAAATGTGAGCTCATATTTGTAAAATGTTACCCACTCAGTGCCTTTCTTCATACAACAAATCAGAAGACATTTTTTAAAAACAGTTTCCCCTTTTTACTGTGAT